AAAATGCCATTACAGTACGGTAACATTCAGCAGCCAGTGTGTCGTTTGTTAGAAAGAAACAAACACATAGTTCAGAATAAAAACAGTTGTTGACTGAAGGCAATGTTTTTGTCTCACTGATTGCTCTGTTTTGTTAAATATTACTTCTTTGATTGAACGTGGAATTTTTGGCATGTTTGACATGAATTTAACGTCTACAGTGACACCCGTGCATCTCATTTATCACGAGGTTTCCAGCTCTTTTAAGGAAAAGCAAGCAAAGTTAAGACCCCCCCCCCAATTCATAAATAATAAGATTAGTCTGCATAATAAAAATTTGGATAAATAAAAAACATTCAGATAAAAGATGTAATAATAAAGTTGTTTTTTACAAAACAATAAGAGGTAAATTCTCTCCTCAAAAGAGATACTGTATAGTCCTGAAACAACCCGCCACTCAAATGCCCTCTAACCTATAAAACCACCTTGAGAATTAACATAAAACATACAGTCTGAATATTTCAGTATTCAGACTGAAAGAATGCTTTTTGTAAAACAAAGATGAGGTTGTAATAGGTCTAATGACTGAATCCTGAGCTACACTGCTCACTGGTTTAGCAGCGACCCCTGCATAACATTCATTCAGGACAAATAAACCAATGAGGAGTGATGACACTGACACAGAAAGAGAAAACACAGTGTAAGACTAATCAACCCATATACAGCTGGTAAAATAAGTTCTGAACGTGTCGCCAATTTTTGAAGTAAATCTATTTCTAAAGGTGCTATCGGCATGAAATCCTCACCAGATGTCAGTAACAACCCATCCAATCCACACATGCAAATAAATCAAACCACAGATGATAATAAATCAAGTTAATAATAAATTAAGTGTAATAATGAGAAATGACACAGGGAAAAAGTAGACGCAAAAGGCAAAAGTCATGACATCAGCTGAAATCAGTCATTAGTAATTTGCCACTTAGTGCAAATGAATATCAGCTGGTTCAGTTCTAACTGATGGCCTATAAAATGTGTCTCATTACCAAGCTGTCATACAAGAAACATCTCATGATGGGTAAAACCAATGAGATCTGTCAAGACCTTCACATGCTTGTTGTTGCTAAACATACTGATGGGATTGTTACAGAAGAATTTTTAAACTACTGACGGTTCCAGTGAGCACTGTTGGGGCCATAATCGTGAAGTGGAAAGGACATAATTTCACCACAAACCAGTCACAACCAGTGGCTCTTTGCAAGACTCCAGACAGAGGAGCGAAAAGGATGATCAGAAGAGTTCTCCAAGATCTGCAAGAAGACCTGAAATCAGCAGGTACAATGTGGATGCACTCACCCATGATGGCCTATATGCATCCTTTTTTTTTTTTATTTAAAAACAAAGTATTAAATCAATTTCAGTAACTGTGTTCAGCACTTTTTCCCTGTGTAATTTCTCATTATAACACAAAACATAATTTGTGGACATCTATTGTTTGATATGGTATAGTTTTACTGTCATCTGGTGAGGATTTCAGCAGCACCTTTAGAAATATATTTACTCAGAAAACTGATGCTTTCTGTACTTATTTTACTCGCTGTGGAGGGTAAAGAGTTACAGATGAAAGAGCTGAGCAAGGCACCGAAGTCATTACCACAAAGGACCTTCGGTTGTTTCTTTTAAAGCTTCTACTCTGTTTTTCTCAGACAGTAACATTTCAGTCCACTTGTCCACTGGCGTTTTCTTACTGATGGACTTTAAAGTGCTCATTTTTTCATGTCCCTGTGAAGACTTTGCAGCATTCAAATGACATACAGAGGGGAAGATGAAGCTTTTGTTTGTCTTTGGTCCGCTTGTTTAGTGCCAGTCCGCTTCATAGCGTGCTCTCCTCTGAGTTGCCGCCGACTATAAAGAGAACCGAGGGATCTTTGCTGGAACTCTCTGCTCTGCGTTTCGACCCACGAGATTTGCCTGATTCTCCCTGAACACCGCTGTTACTGCCGTCTGATTCAGTGCTGGCCCTGCGGCTCACCGTAGCCACCTCCCGGGCCATTTCCTCTGGATGTGGTAGTGCGCGCATTGCCACAGAGCCAGATTTGCCTTTGCTAGATTTTTCTTTTTTCGGCTTACCCGCCTTTGACTTGCTGTCAGATGATTTCCCAGGCAGGTGTGGACTTTTGCTTGGTTGAGGAGGAACGATTGGTGGTTGTGGTTTATTAACGGGAGGATTAACTCTGTGCTCGGGTGCGTTTGGCTGTGCTGTCCCGTTACTGACGACCACATCTGTGAGGCAGTCGTCATCAGTCTGATCCTTGGCAAAGTTGACAAACACCTACAAAAGGTAAGGGGCTTTAGTATCACTGAGACTTATTCATTCTTTACTGACCCAAGTCTTGTTTAATTATGACCAAGCTTTAAAGTGGGATTTGGCAGATCGGGTATCGCAGCCCCACATGTGGAGAAAATCACTAAGAAAGAATCACTTGGCTCCACTTACATGGGATCATAGGCCATGAGACTTACACCACCCATTTTGCAGAAATAGTCATTTTCCAAAACACTAAAGAGGTTTTAAACCTTCATCACAGCCCTCACCTGGTCCAGCGTGGTCTGTGAAATGGAGAAATCAACGATGCCCAGCTCCTCGTAGTTGTTTGCCAGCACGTCGAAGACTCGAGCGAGGCAGCAGGCGTGCGAAGGTAGCTGGTACTGCAGCACATTCTGGTGCCGCTCCTTCAGCTCAATACTAGGAAAACACTCCTTCATGTAGGTGCTGACGGGACACGAGTCGGGGTCCGATTTGGTGTCTGCCAAACGAAGGATGATGGTGTATCCATCACCAAACCTGAAAGACAGGAAGGAACGAAGCACGTGATTCACGACTGTTACATGAGAAGATAAACTTCTCTGATCCTGACCTCTTCACGAATTTGTTCGCCTTCCGTTTGGAAAGGGTCAAGGCTATTTGCAGTACTTTTTTTTTTTTTTTTCAGTATTAAGTCAGAACTGGGGGTGAAATGCAAAACACTACAGGATGCACTTTCAGCCTGTCTAATGTAGACAACACACCAGACATTAAATCGGGGAGAAGTGCAGCGGTTCGTAGAGGTAAGTGGATATTGTTTAGCTGGTATCAGATCGTATGCCTATATTTGCTGTATCGCACAGCACTAGCGTTTGCTTACCTGTTCTTCAGGTGCTGCACAGACCCAAGACACCGAAACCTGCCGTTGACCATGATGGCCATCCTGGTGCAAAGTGCCTCGCACTCCTCCATGCTGACAATACAAACATTTAGAGACGGCAGTAAATATTTTGCCTTTACAATACAAAACTCCATCGGGAATGAATTAAAGCTGAACCGACTGGTACCTGTGTGAGGTTAGCACTACAGCTCTTCCCTCTTTGGTGACACTGAGAATGCAGTTCCACAAAAATCTTTTGGCTTTTGGGTCCATGCCAGTGGTAGGCTCATCCTGACAAAAGGTGGTGGGGGAGCATAGAGGAGATACGGAGTGAGATATAAGTTAGGAATATTTTAAGAATGAAGGTCATTCAATAATAACCGCATCATCTTTTCTATTAGGCTGAATCATCACCAGGAATATGACAGGTGGAGACCCGATGAGGGAGATAGCTGTGGAGAGCTTCCTCTTGTTGCCCCCGCTGTAGCCTCCAGCCTCCTGATCGGCATACTGATTAAGCCCCAGCTTCTTCACACCCCACTGTGCCACCTAGAGAACAGCAGAGAAACTGCTGACTGTAGCCAAACTTGATACTTCACCTCTTGAAATAACATTTAAAAATGACAAAACCTAGATTTTTTTTTTTTTTTACAATGGCCACATATTTAGCTAAATAAAAAACACCAACTCTTCAGCATATCTTCCTTCATAAAACTTGGGAATTTTACACCACCTTAGAGACGAACTCCTCTGGCACCCCCCGCAGGCGGGCGTACAGCTCCAGATGTTCCCGACCTGTGAGCAGGTCGCTGATGGCATCGAACTGTGGGCAGTAACCCATCAGCTGGTGGACCCGCTCCATTTCTGTCAGCACACTGAGAGCAGAGAAATAGCTGATGCAATATCTGTGGTTTGGTACAATAGTAGTTCTGTAGGAGCTGAAGTCACTGCAGCAGACACGCTTTGTACCTGTGCTGGCTGAGGAAAGCCTCTCCATGAGTGACAGGTGTATCTCCAGTCAGCATCCGAAATGTGGAAGTCTTTCCAGCTCCGTTGACCCCAAGCAGCCCAAAACACTGGACGGCAGAGACATAAGAGCAGCATGCTACAAACATCTCTATTTATATACACACAGCTCAGTTATTAAGTCATAAGATAACAGAAGCTTTTACTAGCAGAAGCAACTATAGAAAAAGTAGGTCCATTACTAGTAACGATGGTATTTTTAGAAACTGCAGCACTACATGTGAAAGTATAAATAGCAGTTACAGTGGTGAAAAGCAGTACCTCAAGTTGCATTTACAATATCATAAAACAGTCCCTGTGATAATGTGGCTGTAACTACATGGATAAAGAACACAGAGCTGATAGCCAAAGGTGATGTGTGTATCTTCACAATCACTGGTGCGCAGATCCCTCACCTCGCTGCGAGGAATCCCGAGGCAAAGACGGTCTACGGCTGGCTTTCTGCCGGCTTTATAAACCTGAACAACAAGAAGCTTATTTGTTACACTTTTAAGCTGAAATTCACAACTGTGTCAGTGTAGGAGGAGGACAGCTCATCAGTGAGAGTCTCTCGAATGAGAAACATTTAGCTGCAGTAGTTAATTAGTGACCTAAACAAGTTCAGCGTTTACATTTCCTGCACGTTGTACCTTGCTCAGGTCGATCATGGTGAGGATGTCTGAGTGTGCTTTCCCACTTTTGACCCTCTCTCGCTCTCTCGCAACATCCTCATCTTCTGGACCAAGAGGAGGCAACTCAGGCTTAGTCCACCAAGGCCTGAACAAACACACAAGCAACCAACTCACAGATCCCACTTTTATTTGATTTTAGAATTTCTATCCATTAAACTGACACACTTGCACGGCAGCAATAAGAGGAAGGAAAAGGAAAAAAAACCTGAGAAACTAGTGCAGAGAATGTTAAAAATAGAGATTTTTACCTGTAGCGGATGAAGAATTTGTACTGAAGGAGTATGGTAAAGATGAAGAAGACGACACCTTCTACTGCCATTGCAAAAAGGTTCTTTCCTACAAAGTCCCACTGAAGGGGGTCCAGGCTTGGTTTGGTACCTGGAGGAGAGACATTACATCTATATTTAGTCTTTGTAAGAGCAAATAACTCTTTTGAGGCTGACTAGTATGTACCCAGTCTTTTGAACGCATCCACCATGGCCTGGTTTTTGGCCATGTCGATAAGTCCTCGTCCCAAACAAAAATGAGGGAAGATTAAAAACACCTTCTTCAGGATTCTGTTCACCTCGTTCAGATACTGGAAAGACAAAATCATTCACATATGTATTAGTTAAGGGTGCATTAAACAAAATTATGTTTCTACTGCAGAGAAATATTTTAAGGAACATTTCCTTAGTTAAGAAAATGTAAAACAAGAGGGTTAAAGCATAGTTACTGTTATTTACATATATTTATGCCTTACTTATTCCTAGAACACAGGTGAAGAAGTAATTGAACTTCACGCCTGCGTAAAATTTACCTCATCTACAAACAGCTCCAGGACGAAGGTGGCGATGCTGCCGTTGATTCCAATGAAGAGGTTGATGGAGGTCAAAAATACATAAGCTGTGCTTGGGACAGTGAACACAAAGGATGCTGGGTACATAAGAGGGGTTATGGACCACCCGTAGAACAGGAGGAGCAGGATAAGAGCGGGCAGGTTGGTCTCAGAAACGTATGACTGCTGCTGGAAACTGATGAAAATCAGCACCACCATGATAGCAGGAATGGTGTAGTTTAACTGGAAACAAAGAAAAAAGGGAAAACTATCCTGAGCCTGGATTTTTATCTAGTCAAGTATGTGATGATAGTCTAAAGGCCTTTACACACCTGACATGTAAAATCTGTACAAATATTTCGTGTTAAAAATGTTTCTGGGACGATTCTCAATGCAACTATTCATGCTCAGTAATTTCCCTGGACATTTATTTTTTCATACTGAGCTTGAATTTTCTGATTTCTTTGGGTCTGAATAAACAGCATTGATCAATCTGACCACTGCATTTGGCAACAAGAGCGCTCGTAGCTCAAAACATGTATTGAATCCACAAACAGTAAAATAATACTATTTTACTTCAGACTCTGAACTTATGTCTCTGCTTCCTCAGATGTGGAAGCCAACGAGAGCTCAAACTGTCCCACCGACATCCTGAAATGTGTGCGAAAGCACCGTGATACAGCTGCAACTCCTGGATCAAACCGTGAAATCTCAGTTTCTTCCTTGTCTTGTTCAGAAACATCAGGACCAGCTCATTATCGCTCGATGCTGTGTGTAATAGTCTTTACAGTGACAGTACCCTCCACAGTAGTAAATGGATTGATGAAACTTCCTGACTTACACTGATGCATACAAATCTGTCTGAGTGAGGACAGTTAACTTCTTCTATCTCGAGCTGTACTGACCATGTCCCAGGTAAAGTTGGCCAGCCAGTAGAGAATCGGTTTGACCCCGCTGACAAACTGCAGGTGTTTAGCTTTGCTGACTCGCTCCTCGATCAGAAAAAGGACGAAACTGGCCGGCACGAAGGACATGGCAAAGATCACACAGATGGAAACCAGGACATCCACCGATGTAGTCATCCTGAAGGAGAAAGCAGAGAAAAACACATCAGAGGACTGTGGACCTCTTTATTTTAAAAGAAAAATAAATAAATATTTTTTTTACAACAGTGCAGAGTTTAAATCCACTCTAATCTTCCCCCTCACATAAACAGAACTAATACAACGAGCACAAGAGCCAAACTGGTGAACTTGAACTCTCCACAGCAGTGAACTAACATGGCTACTTCGGTGAGCTGCTCCTTGGTGAGGTTGAGTGGGTGATTGTAGGCAGTGATGCCGTGCTTCCTCCTCTCAGGACCTGGCGGCAGACTCGCTCTCAGCAGGCCGTTGTTCATCACATTGACAAATGACACCATGGCGTGCCAGCCTTTGTTGTTGTACCACACCTGAGCACAGAAAAGAGAGCGTTTGAGCAGACACAAATATCTGGACGCATCACCTAAATCGCTTTCTTTAAAGTCTGGGGAAAAACAAACAGAAGACACAAAGACAGATAAAAAGACGCTCATTTACCTTCACATTGTTTTCACTGTTCAGCCCTCCTAAGACCTCTGGGAGTCTGTGCAGCAGGTTTCCCAGTGAACTGTTCTGTGATGAAGCAAAAAGCAGACTCTCAGTGTTGACGGCTTTAATGGGGAATCATGTGGTGCGGGGGATGGTGGGTGAGGCTTTTTATTGTTATTAGCCGGTGCTCTGGTCAGGACTAGCTTTTCCTGGCACCAGCAGTAGAACTTCCAGCCCTTTTAAATATTTTACTTCCATTTTCCCTGCTTTTCTCTCTGTAAAGGTAGAAAAAAAAATTAGTCTTATTAAAGCACTCATCTTAAGGCTCTCTGTACCTGTGGGACTCGGAAACGAGTCCTGATGGCCATGACCGAGTCTTGGAGATATTGGGTTTGAGATACAGCTCTGCCTCCGAGGGAGAAGCCTCCGTATCTGTGATACATTTTAGAAATAATACAAAGGTGGTTCAACCGAGTTCATTTAAAACAGTTCAAAGCATTTATAGAAATATCACAGTTAAATAGAGCAGATATTTTGTATATTAGTGTAATTTAACAGCTTACCTGAATTCATTCACCCACTTCTTGGTTTTTAGGCTATTAAAGGCAGAGAGAGAGAGAAGCGATCACAGAGTTATATTCATGATGGAAAAATGCAAATCAGTCAAAGTTTATGAAGACATTTATGAATACTGTGAAGTGTTCGGTCAATTGGGATCAAAATTAATGATAGCTATTAGGGGTGCAACAATACTCGTATCGATATTGAACCGTTCGATACAGTGCTTTCGGTTCGGTATGCATATGTATCGAACAATACAAAATTTGCAATTTATTTTATCAACTTTCCTTCTGACGATGCTGTCTGCACTGTCGAGCGCAGATCCACTGAGCGCTCAACACAGACAGCATCATCAGAAGGAAGAGAGCAGGGCAAGCTAGCAAGACAGAAGTTAAGCTCTCCTTGCAACATGGCAAATTGAACCTCCCCCACC